ATTGGGATCTACATCAGCTTGACATCAAGAATGCATTCTTGAATGGTGATCTTGAAGAGGAAGTTTACATGATTCAACCCCCTGGTTTCCTGGCTCAAGGCAATGAAYAGAARRTGTGCAAGTTGAAGAARTCTTTATACGGGCTGAAACAATCACCAAGAGCTTGGTTCAGCAAATTCCATGTTGTGGTTCAGCAGAAAGGATACAAGCAATGTCAATYAGATCACACACTGTTTGTGAAAAGAGGAAATGGTAAAATGGCTGCTTTAATAGTATACGTGGATGACATAATTGTTATTGGTGGCTAGAAGGATGAAATCCAGAGGTTAAAGGGTTTTCTTGCCACTCAGTTTGAAGTGAAGGATCTAGGACCTCCCAGATACTTCCTTCGAATTGAAGTTGCTCGATCAAAAAGGGGTATCTTCATTTCCCAAAGGAAATATGTCCTATATTTACTTCAGGACACTAGAAAGATGGGAGTGAAGCCAGTTGACTCTCCCATTGACCCCAACCATAAATTAGGTGACAGCCAAGGTGAACCTTTCAAGGATGTGAAACAGTTTCAAAGGCTTGTAGGGAGATTGTTATATCTTTCTATGACTCGCCCAAACATTGCTTATGTTGTTGGTGTCCTCAGTCAGTTCATGCATGCACCTAGGTCCACTCATCTTGAAGCGGCAGAAAGAATCCTCCGGTATCTAAAAAAGTTTCTTGGTGCTGGCTTGTTATTTCAAAGGCATGGGCATTTGAAAGTTGAAATTTATACAGATGCAGATTGGGTTGGATCTCAAAGTGACAGAAAGTCTACTAGTGGCTACTGCACCTTTATAGGGGGGAACCTTGTTACATGGAGGAGTAAAAAGCAAAATGTGATGGCTAGATCCAGTGCTGAAGCTGAATATCGTGCAATGGCTCACAGAGTAGCTGAAGGTATGTGGATAAAGAATCTGTTGAGTGAGTTGGGTTTCCCAGTGGACAAGCCTACGACTCTATTCTGTGATAACAAAGCAGCTATAAACATTGCTGCTAACCCAGTGATACATGATAGAACAAAACACATCGAAGTTGACAAGCATTTTATCAGGGAGAAAGTCATCACAGGCGAAGTATGTACTCCCTATGTCAGCTCTGAGAACCAACTTGCAGACATCTTTACAAAAGGGCTACACCATTCYARACATCATGATCTCTATGACAAGTTGGGCATTATTGATATCTATGCCCCAACTTGAGGGGGAGTGTTGACAGATGTTGTTGTACACATGTTTAGTACCGCAAGGGTACTTTTGTAATTTCTTCATATTTTATGTTGTACGACTAGACGAGTATAAATAACAACATACTGCACACGTCTGCAGTATTCTTTGGGCTCCTAGTCCTCTCGCCTCTCCACTCTTTCTCTTCTCTTCTCTTGTTCAACAGACACAAAAGTAAAAGAAGACAGGAAAGCATGATATGATGGTGAAAATGAACTATAAGAGATAATGGTTGATGCAATGGGCTGTGAAGATGGTACACTATCTCTTCCCCTTGTAGAGTACAATGGGAAGATCAAGGTCATTAGGTGCAAGTGTGTCATCAACAATAATAGGCGTAGAATTATCAATAGGAATAAGAGGCATAGTTATTCGTATCTGATGAACCTGAAGTCTTAGATGGAGTAATAGAGAGTGGTGTGGGTTCTCTAGAAACATCAAAATCAACCCTCCTGCACTATTGCCTGAAGGCCTGTAAAGCAACATGAAGAGGAGCTGGCAAAGGTGCAAGGATTGGAGAGGAACATTACTTCATCACCAAAACACTCCCCCTAAGAAGAAATACCAGGAAAGAAAGGATTGGACTTGAAAAAGGTAACATCCATATTAACATGATGACTACCAGACACTAGATCATAATAACAATGCCCCTTCTGGTTTTGAGCATACCCAAGGAAAACACACTTATTGGCTTTAGGATCAAATTTATTATAGTGAGATCCATGAATATGAGCAAAACAAGTGCACCCAAAAGCTCACTAAGGAATATGAAACAACTCACTCTTAGAAAACAAAACAACATAAGGAGTCAAAAAACTAAGAATACAAGAAGGCAGATGATTAATTAAGAAGACTGCATAGAAATAACATCACCCTAAAAACAAAAGGAACTGTGCCAAATATCATAAGACTCCTAGCCACTTAAACAATATGTCTATTTTTTTCTCTTAGCCACCCCATTCTACTATGGTGTATGAGCACAACTACTTTGATGAACAACTCCATGCTCCAAAACGTAGGATGCTAAGTTTTTCTCAAGTATTTCCTATCGTTGTCAGATCTAATAACCTTAATCCTCACCCCAAACTGTGAAAATCACTTGGTGAAACTACCATACTAGAGATGGAACTTCATCACAAGAATGCAAAATGTTATGCTGTGCCTCAAATAATTTTCTTACCCCAAAATGTTAATAGAAAATCAGAAAGAAAGACAATGTTTCTTTTCCCTGTGGAAGTGCAACTACTAGTCAAAATATTCTATCCAGAAATGAATTGATAAATAATCAGAAAGATAATACAAATGATATACCAACTCCTCGCCACTGATCTTCCCAAAAGGAAATGAATTATTACTACCAAACTTGAAACCAAAATTGTAATAAAGAATATGAAACTTTTCATAACAACCTTTTAATGTTTTCATCACATGAGAAAGAGAGTTCATGACTGCCCAAATTCTGGTCACTGCTATTAAATTTTTATGATGGGTGTTACAATATCAGGGGTATTACTCTCCTTAGTTGTCATGGTGACAAGGCATTTTTGTGGAGTTGCCTTATGCCTCACCTTTGTGTTTTTGTATTGGGGGTGTACAAATTTTAGGTTTAGTGTGCCTAAACCATATCATGTTGTATAGGTAAGAGTAAAAGGATGGAAAAGGGCATTATAATAAATCAAAATTTAGAGATCCATAAAATGGGTTTATAGCAAACGAAAATATAAATGGAAGTATTGCACTCATTGTTCTGGGGCTTTAAGCCTTTAAATAGTAGCCTATATCATGGCATTCATCACAACAAGCCTTTTCTTCTACTTCAATCTCAATTTCTCTAAGCAAAGTAGAACATCATCTCTCCATGTCAATGTATGGACTCTACCCCTTTATTTCCTTTAGTTTTTTTATGCATCACACAAATACATGGATATTCTCTCAATATCTTCTTGTACTAGTAGAGGAAGGCCCTTACCCTCTAGGTTTTATTTTTAATAGACTATGTAATGCGTTTGTATTCTAGTTTTAATGTTTGATTTGTTCATCACTGTTTGTTTGTTGCTACTTCAATTAGGGAACTAAGCTACCCATGCAAAAATTATCTAAAGCTAGTTGCCTAGGAGATAAGACACTCCCCTGTCACCTAGCCTCACCTTATCACCTTAACAACAATGCTCTCTTCCCATATTTCTAATTCTTTACTGGTTCTTCTGAAGAGGATTTATTCATTGAATCATATATTCTGGTCGACTTTCACTTTTTAATTGCTTTCATGCTTTCATGCTCAATAAATGACATCCTAACTGGAGCAAGCTCTAGACATTTGAGTGATTCAGACACCATTAGTAACTTTGCAAAGTTATTAGTTGGAGTTTCTCTTGTTACCTTGTTTGGCATATGTTATTTCTATCAAAGTTATTCTCTTTGACATGAGATTCCTTCGATGTCTCTTTAGTCGATGTTAATTTGGATTTTATGCCTTCTAGTCCCTGTTGCAATCAGAAAAACAAAGGGCTGATGATTCCGAAAAGAAATGTGCTGAAGCCCAAGAATCAAGTGAGGAAAAGCGTAAGAAGTTGGTTGAAACAGAAGGAAAAGTACAACAGCTTCAGGAATCTTTAAATAGGTAGTATAATCCTTCTACTATCTCCATCCCCGTATTAGTTTTTTTATGACTTTGGAGTACTGTTTGGTATAGATTTATTATAATGATTTTCTGTTACTACTGGTGTCACTTATCTAAATTATATACTTCATTACATAAGAATATTTGTTCACTATTTTTACCTCATGGTTTTATTAGCCAAATACATATATTACTTGCTGTCAAGAAAACAGCAAATAAACTGGTACAGTGATGCATATGGTCATAATGTCACTGAAAACTGATCTGTTAACATTGCATTTGCACTTCCTATTATACTGCATGCATTATGAGAAAGTTGGCTGAATATTCATTAAACATTAACAAGTTTTGCAGAGCACAGCTATAATATGAGGTCAATCCTATGTTTCTATCATGGGGTCTAGAAATGGACTAACTAAAATAATAAAAGAATAAGATCAAGCAAATGTGGTCACGAAATGAAATCATGAAGAGGACAATGATGGAATAACAAAGATAACACTAATATGAACAGTATAACAAATCAATCCAAAATTAACAAGAGATCACAGAATTTTCTACAAGCCAAGTGCTATGAATAAGGAGAGTTAAAGAAAGTAAATAGCTAAAAATAAGAACAATATAGGGGCAGCCCAGTGCATGAGGTTCCCACCAATGTGGGGTCTTGGGAGGGACAGATGTACGGAGCCTTACCCCTGAACATACAGAGGCTGTTTCCAAGAAAAATAAGAACAATATAGATCTGTCTAATAAATGTAGAGAACATCTAACTAGAGGTGAGTGAAATTATACCAAGTGCATTAACATATAATAAAAAAAATGAGTTGTATTTATAGATGCAAATCAGATTAGAAACAAGTAAAAAATCCAGGAGTAGCACTTTATGTTAGGTAACAAATTAAGACTAAAATAAAAATAGGAGTCTTAAAACAGACCTTGTACAAGTAATAGTGAAGTGAAATTATACAATTTAAAGTCTAAGTATGAAATGAACAATTGTGTAGGCTGAAATTCTGTATTCAAATCAGGTCTGAAATATGTAACATATAATTTGAGGCTTTGCAATTCTAAATTTGGCAAGAAAATTTTCAAAATGTGTGCAGAGTTTCCAAGGGACATTAGCAGAGAAAATAAAAAAAAATTAAAAACAAACTTGATCATAAAGCACTATAAACTAGTAAAAGGACAACAACTTCTGGACAAAGATGCAAACAGGTTATATAAATCCAAAAATTAAAAAGTACAAATAGGATACCATAGAAGATGCAAAACATCTGAACAGAAATTACCAAGTGAATATCTAAAATTACAACATTGTATAATTTTAGTAAGTGTGAAGCCTCTTTCCTCCCTCTTCTTCTGTTTGGCCAAAGAAGAAAGGTGGAGTCATGTGGAGAAGTAACCTGGACACTTCGGGAAGAGGGGAATGCAGGAATCTTCCTTGAAAGGAGGAATAATGAGGCCTTGAATGCATAGTTGTTGAAGATTAATTAGCTTTTTGATGTTTTTCTGAGTAGATGTTTTATGTTAGTTGTTAGATAGGAGGTGGGACCACAGTAGTTATGTGAGCCCAATTTTTATTATGTTTTTTGAGTGTTATATATGCTGTTTTATGTTTTGCCGCCCTATAAGGGCATAGTTATCTCTGTACTGTTCTATTATTTTAGTATAAATAATAAGTGAAGGGAGCGGCCAGATGATTGCTCTCTTTTCTTTCAACTTCTYTTCTTCTCTTCTTCTCCTTCTCTCTTCCTTCTCTCTTCAAGAAACTACTTTCTTTCATATTTTTTAATTCAGCAGATTTCTACTTAGTCATTAGAGTTACTCACTGGTTAAAGTCTCTAGAACTGTTTTCAGATTTCTCAGTGGATGACTTTTATTAGGAAGTAGCTGGAAGTAGTCAGCTCATCATCTTTAAAGCTCCACATTAGTATATCTTGTACCCAACCAACTGAGGGGTACATAAACTGAACTTTAATGGCAGTAGTATGGGGAATCCAGGCCCCTCAGGGGTAGGAGGCTTGTTCAGGAATGAGTTAGGTCAAGTGGTGGCAATTTTCTCAGGTCCAATTGGCATTGGAAATTCATTAGAGGCTGAAGTAATGGAAATTGTGGAAGGGGCAATCAAAGAAAAAGGAGTTTGATGAGCACAAGTGGATTATATGAGGGGATTCACAACTGGTGGTTAATTGGCCGCAAAATAAAGGGAACGATTTATGGATGTATAAAAATGAGATAAAGAAAATTAAATGGATAACTAGGGGTATGGATGTAATAATTCAATGGGTCCAAATAACAGCTAACAGCATGGCTGATGATTTGGCAAAAGAAGGGATTGGGAGAAATCAAATGTTTTGGGCCCAATGGTAATAATTTGGTATTGGAGATAATCTGTTTCATATTCAACTGTACTTGTACACATTTTTCTAGTCTTTAATTAATGAAAGTTACAGTTATTGATTAAAAAACAAATTGCTAAAAACAAGGAGCTGCAAAAAGGTACAAAATCTGAATAACAAAAGACTACTACAGACCGAGCAGGATCACATAAACCAAGCCTTAGGAGTATAATGACCCAAATTGATAAAAAAAATAAAAAGAAAGAAAGAAAAAAGTGTAACATAACCACCACTCTATCTCTTCCCACCACCCAACCTTTAAGAAGTTGCAATTGGCTAGCCCTAGAAATCAACCTACTAAGAACCACTGCCGCTAAAATGAATAGGAATAGGGTAATGGGGTCTCCTTATCTTAAAATTCTAATGATTTCAAAAAATCCACCACCAATCTATTCACAATCACCGAAAAAGTGACTTGTTTGCAAGCATCCTTTGATTAACTTTCACCACAATTCTCCAAAACCACAAATTTTCATACTGTTAATTAAGTACTCCCAATCCACAAGGTCATAAGCTTTCTCCAATTCCAATTTAATTGTTACTTACTTTTTCTTAGATCTTCTTTGGGCCTCTACACATTCATTTACAATAATAATTTGATCTACAATCTATTTTCTTGAATAGAAGCAACTTGGTAATGAGAGATAATTGAAGAAAGAACTTTCTTAAGCCTCAAAGGCAACACCTTAGCAATTATTTTATAAATGCTAGTAAATAATCTGATTGGCCCGAAATCCTTCGGATGATAGACTTTTTTGGTGCCAGGGTAATTAAGGTGGAATTCTTTCCTGGATTAATTATACCCCTCCTATGAAACTCTCTAAACACTCTAAGCAAATCCAACTTAATGATCTCTTAGCAATCCTGATAGAAGGCCATTATAAATCCCTTAATGATTGTTTATGGTGGGGAAGTTGGACTCATATGTCTTACCTCATAATTATGATGCATTGTTTCAACAAATTGAATGCCACTTTGCATCATAATATTGAATACCACTAAAATGTATTTTCTTATCTTCTTTTGCACTTTCCATTTTTCTAGGAACCTTTTTTTGTTACTGATGAAAAAGATATTAAGTCACAAATATAATCAATCATAACCATGAAAATATTTTAATTTATATCTATGACCTTCATCACTAGAACTAATATGATAGTAAAATAGGATCAATAGAAAGAGAAGAAAACAAAGTACCAAGAAGACGATGTAGTGGAATTCAGTGCACCTTATTTGTTAACTGTCTCTCTATAAACTATTAACTTATAGAGGTTACAATTAATAAAAATATAGATGTATAGCCCATGTTTTGAGACTAATAAAGAATATGATTTACTTTATCTCAGGATGATTCAATGCTTCTCAGATCAAATATCAGAGCTGAAAACGATTTTGCATACATCATCAAACTCAAGTTCGTCTTCAGAAAGCATTGATAGAGATGATCAGGTTGATGCTACTTCTGATGCCTCTGAATTCACTTTTCCAGCCTTGGGTCCTACTCCAGAAACCACATCTTCTTTAATTCCCAATACTCTCCACCTAATATTTCAGGATCTTTCAGCCGCAGAAAATTCAGGTCAGTCTAGTTATCATTAGTGTCACTCTTACTCAATACTTAGATTTTGGTGTATTTGCATGACAAGTGCATCAGAGTCTAAGTCCACGTGATCAAGGTCATAAGAAGATTCTCACTACTAATGGTGAGAAATATCCTACTTCATTAATTTCTTAAGTTTCTTTGTCACTTTCTCCTCATCATTCTGCGCCATTGATGTGAATTTTGTTCCCACATTTTCTGTCGGTCTTAACTATATTATGTTTTTCTTCTTGTGATGGTTGCATTGTGTAGGACCTGATGACTGGGAAAGTGATCGGGAGGGGGCATTCGATGACTTTTTCTGATGAATTTTCTATTTCAATTTGTTGTAGCAGATTTTCTTGTTCATTCTACCTTAGACACAAGCTCAATAAAAAGTAGGATCTCTAACACCATAGGCTATACTACCCATGCTCAAGTAATTTGTATTCAATTCCTAGTTTCTGATTGTTAATGGACAAATTCAATGATAATAAAATTATTTATATCTCATATATAGAACCTTCTTTTCAAGTTTTCTCATATGTCATTTCCTTTTAGTTCTTCAAAGTCCAATTCACCGTTTTACTTGTTTGAATCAAATCATAGGATTCAAACAAAAATCGCAAGATGTTTGAATGCTTTTCTGCAAAAAGTCTTATGATTTTGTTTGAATCCTACCATTTAATTCATAAATCTTTCGATTTATATAATTCTTACATGTGACTATGATTCAATTAAATCCAATTAAAAATTACATCTCTACTTTTTTTTTATATTTACTTTTGTTAAGGGAGACTTGTTTTGAAGCCCTTATTAGAAAATTATATATTTATGTTATTTAAGACCAGACATTGATTTTGTTTTACATCACATTATAGGCTAAATAGTCATTTTATGTAATTTTTTTACTTTCAAGTTAAATGTGATTTTATCATATCAGGCTTCTATTTTACAAGTGTTAAATTCTATTATTTTAGGTACATATATGGAAGATATGGATTAAAAATAGGTTATAATCATATTCTTTTTAATATTTACTCTTTTGGTATATTTATATTTAATTTTTCACAAGCTTGTAAAATATATAAATAATCTTACCATTTATGTTATGATTCTCAATTCAATTCGATTCAACTTTCTCTACAATTTACAATACGATTACAACTTTTGGAACATTGCTCATACCTAGCTATCCTTTCGGCCAAGAATCTTGAGATTGGGTTGTCAGAGTGTTCGATCCTCACTAATTCCTATAATATGCCATCCCACTTCAATTTAATTAACAAGGTATTGTTGTGCATCTTTTTCATTTTCATGTATTTGTGAAAATTTTACTTTCCATAATAAAATCATTTTGGCAATCTATTACATGTGTCTTTGTTGAAAGTGGAGTAGGATTTTGAATCTTTAAAATGCTTATGTGCATAGAACTATCAAAAAATGTTTATTCTACTAGAAAAGGAAAAACAAATCTAAAAACTTTAATAGGGAAATGTTTCATTTGTTCTATCTTATTTTGGTACTTTCTTTGTTCTCGAATTCTTTTTGTAATATCATGCAGACTTTGCAAGTCCATCATTGAAAGATATCCCCCCTCCTACATCAGTACCAGTGGAAGGTCCGCATCAAGAAGCGCCATCTGAATCCTTTTCTTCAGATTTCTGTCATCCTCTTCTATCCTTGGTAAGCCTTCATTGCTTAAAAGCATCTTCCTATGAGAATCAAACTATTTGTATTGTTTGTTTTTCTTGTTGTCTCTTTTATATTCTACTTTTATTCCTTCTTCAGCCAAATAGGTTTTCAGACAACTCTATGACAATATACTAATCCATGGCTGAATATTTTAGAAGAAAATGACTAATGAGTTGTTATTGAATTTCATAGTATTCAAATTATTTGAAAGGATTAATTGAAATTCTAATCAGGTTGTAATATGAATACTTTTCCCAATATAACACCAATTCATATTGATTAAGAAGAAAGGTCAACAAATTTTACTAGCAAAACCAATAACCATCCTCAGGATGGTTAGTACACTTACACATGCAAAGATCTTCCAAAAAACTAGATGATTGAACAAATTGGGCAGTTTAGATATCATTTCAATCCACACAATTGAATTTCTTCTTCACATGACAAATAAAAAGAAAAAAGGAGATAGGGAGATGGTATTCGGGAAAATCTGCAAATTAATAGGTTGGTCTATAGAGAGGGAATTTGATCAAAGAAAGAAAGGGGTTTTTAAAAAAACTTGCCCAATGGTGAATCTAAAAAATTTGTTCTCCATCTAAAAACCACTTTCAAAAAGAGATGCAAAGATAAAAGTTTGAAGAGTTGAATGATAAATAAAAGGTTCATGTGTATGTGGGTAAAAAAGATATGAAGTTAAATGAAATTAATTGACGAATCTTTTGTTTCAACAATGATTTTACCAATATACAAACTTGTTGCATAGGTAGTTCTATAATTATCAAATGGTTGTCGAAAATAGAGTTCACTAATGTTCCCCATTGAAGCACTCGTCATTCTTGAAATAGAGTTCATCTTATTCCATTCATCAATGTGGATGAATTCATATAAAAAATGACAAGGATGGTCTTTCTCATACAAAGAAGGTTCATATCTTCTTGGCGTGTATAAATGATGATCAAGTTCTGAAGATTCTTCAATCTTGTCATAAATACTCAATTGTAGACAACTACAAATGGTGCTTTTGTTTTATATATGTTGAGTTGGGCCTAGTTGTTTTTTATTCTTATTTTAAGCTATTTAGTTAGGAAGTTGTTGGGCTTTAGGCCCATTAGTTTATGTTTTTAAATTGTGACTGTTCAGCTACATTAGTAGTCACCCTACTAAGGTCATCCTTGTAATATCTCATCTTTTAAGTTAAGTATAAATATAATGAGGGGTTGGCGGCTAGGGTTAATTCAAGAATCCTGGTTGACTTCCTACTCTTTTCTCCCTCTCTTTTCTTCTCTACTACTGAAATCTTTATCTTCCTCCCCTTTTCCTTTCACAAGAAATTCAACTAAAT